TCATAAATTTCAAAGCATACTGTAGGCCGCGGCAATAATTTTTTTTACTACTAAATTTCGGGATTTCGGGGGGGGGGTTGACCCCCTAACCCCCCCCTGGCTACGGCCTTGGATTCGGATAGACTTTATGCTTCATCACCAAACCTGTACGGTAAACCTGTTTATTTATTTTATTACAATAGTTATTTGTGTAACTAAGTAGTGGGAGCAAAGCGGCACTTTGCTGCACACGAGATAAATGCAGTTAACGAGAATGTTTCTCGAGTGCAGCAAAGGCCATTTGCGCTCGTGTTACACATTATATTTTTCCTACAATTATAAAGCATAACTAGTTAGTCTTTCAAACTCTATACAACACGTGTTTAGGGTAGGTTAAACCCAAGCGTTGAAGGGAATGGGAAACACTGCACCAGTAAATAGTACGGAAAGTTTGAAATGGTGCTACTTATTTCCAAGAGTACACGTATAAACAGTAACAATCAGTATAAATAGAATAAACAAGTAATTTTTCCTACAGTCACCCGACAAAGTTGGCTTCCTTGTACTGATAGTACAGAAAGCTGCTAATTGCTGCATATTTATACTTTGTCGTACGGTTTATACTTTGGCGCACATCAGGATTCCATTCCAACGAAACAACACAAAACAGCGTGGTTCTATTATGCACGTAATCCGTGTACGTTTGGAAATAGGTTGGCAACACAGACAATAATACTATGAGCAGCTGATTGACTATTATAACTACAATTTAACCAGTCATTTCGTGTTTATAGTTTCGGTATTTCTGAACTTTTCTTTTAAACGTTTTTAAAACATTCCTACAATCTTAATAAACAAGAAAATACCTTTAAAGCATTTTTTAAGGCGCGGAAACCCCTTCAAACTACAAAAACATACGGAACTATATTCTCAAAACGCGGAGCACATTTCTTGCCGAGGAAAAAATAACGGAGTGATACGGACCGGGTACAACTTTCTCTAGGACACCTATTTGTGTTGCCAGCTGAACCTAAAAACGTGTTGTATAGTGTTTGAAAGACTAATTATTTATATGCTTTATAGTGACTGTAGGAAAAATATAATGTTTAACACGAGTGCAAAAGGCCTTTGCTGCACTCGAGATCAATCCGCACTCGCGTGCGTAAACATTGCTCTCGTGTGCAGCAAAGTGCCACTTTGCCCACTAGTTACACAAATAACTATTTTAACTTTCTTAGTTTTCTTACTTACGCACCAAGAAGAAAACAGTTCGTATGCTCGTTCATACTTCTTTCTTGATTTTTCAGGAATTAATGAATCATGTTTTGCAGTTTCTGCTACATTTCTTCTAGTTTAGGCCATTGATGTATTGTACATCGATGGTTTAGGCTACACATTTATTCACAATCACTGAGTTCATTATTCTCAACATGTTAGGTCCACTTATAAAATTATTCTCTCAAATACTACATTTAAGGTTAGTTAAAACCAAGCGTTGAACTAAAATCGTACTAATATTATAAATGTAAAAGTTTGTGTGTTTGTTAGAAGTTCAATCACGCATTAACTACAGGTTGGATTGGGTTGAAATTTGGTATGATGATAGCTTACATTCCCGATTAACATATAAACATATTATTTTCTCAAAAATCCTTTCGGGCTCTGCCCCAGTGGCTCTGGAGTTTCCCATGTTAACCTTATGAGTTTTTCATATTTAAAAGGAATTGAAGCATTTTGTCAGCTGTTTAAACTACACAAGTTGGTTCTATGATATTCAATAGCATCATAGACAAAAAGATCAAAAAGTTATAAAGATTTACCATCAGGGTGCAGCACTATTAATTTTTTTGCATTTATCACAACAGCTAATTTGAACCAAGCAGCAACAGAAAGCTGTGATACAGATACATTAAGAGAATTTTACTTTTTTTCTATTGTTTAGGTGCAATGGTAGGACATTATGGCTATGGTAGATGTGCTATACTATGGTATACTGTAAAATAACCAAATTTTCTTAAACCGTGTCCTCTCCAATTGCAAACGCAAAGAAGCATTTTATACGTATATGCCAACCCCGTACGAAGGACGGGTACTCTGCTAGTAGAATTTAAACACGAAATGACAGGTTAAATCGTAGTATCAATAGACATAATCAGCGAATCAGCTGATCAGTAGTAGTATCTTGAAGTGTTGCCGACCCATTTCCAAGGGTACACGGATTACGTGTATAATTAAACCAAGCTGTTTTGAGGTGTTTGGTTGGAATTCTGGTGTGCCCCAAAGTATAAACCGTGCGACAAAAGGATAAACGGCGCGACAAAGTAAGTAAATGCAACAATTATCAGCTTTTTAAACTATTATCAGTCCAAGGAAGCCGACTTTATCGGGTGACTGTAGGAAAAAATCGCCAAAAGATTTATTTTGACAAAAGACATAGAGCCCCAGAATTGCCTACTCTACCTGATGGAGCTCAAGCAAGGAAAATTTATAAATCAAAAACTTTTTTAAACAAAACGTTTTTAAACGCACTAAAAAGTAGAAAATAATTTATAAATATGTTGAGAGTACTTGTATACTTGTAAGATTTAAAACGAAAAACGTGGGGTGCATGCAATAGATAATTTACTACCTTCACCTATTAAACTAATGTATTATTATCAATTAATTGCATGCACCCAACGTTTTTCGATTTAAATCTTACAAGTATTTATACGCTCAACATATTTATAAATTATTTTCTACTTTTTAGTGCGTTTAAAAACGTTTTGTTTTTTAAAAAAGTTTTTTATTTATAATTATTTTCAACTTTTAGTCTTTAATGTGTAAATATGTTAAATATATTTAATATGGCATGTTAATATATAACCTTTGACTATTAATACAACACAACAAACCAAAACCTTATCATCTCTAATTAGATGTTTTATATTTACTTTAAAATGCTTGTTTTATATTTTTAAAATACTAGCTGTACCCGCGGGCTTTGCCCCGTTTAACTTCATAAGTATTCGCATGGCTCATTCGTCCTGTTTGAAGTTCGTTCGCTACGCTCACTCACCTTTAGGTTGGAGCTCGTTCGCCGCGCTCACTTGCCTTCAGGTTAGCTCGTTCGCTATAATGCTAACTCGCCTCCAGGTTGAAGTTCGTTTGCTACGCCCACTCACCTTTTGGTTGGAAATTAGCTGTTGTCATAAATTTAAAAAAAAATTAATAGTGCTGCACCCTGTTGGTAATCGTTGTAACTTTTATGCTATTGAACATCATAGAACAGAACCAACTTGTTTAATTGAAACAGCTAAGATTCATCAATTCCTTTTAAATATGAAAAATCATAAGATTAACATGGGGAACTACACAGCCACTGGGGCGGAGCCCGAAAGGGTTTTTGAGATAAGAATATGCTTTAATGTTAATCGGGAATGTGAGCTATCATCATGCCAAATTTCAGCCCAATCCGTCCAGTAGTTTATGCGTGATTGAGCAACAAACACACACACAAACATACATACAAACTCACAAACTTTCAGATTTATAATATTAGTAAGATATCTGGAAGAGACTCCGACTAAAACCGAGATTGCCTCAAGACGTTTTATTATAACCATTTTTTTTTTCATTTGTGTTTCATTGGTGGACAGTGCCTTTACAGTCCGACCCGCTAAAACAGTGACAATAAGTGCCTGAGGGGCTAGCCATAGCTAGCTGACCTCTACCTATGTTAATGTAATTAATAATGTTATTTTCCTACAGTTACCTAACAATGTACATGTTCTCTCACTGATTTGCGAAAGCAAAGTGGCCAATTCGCTCATCAGTGAGACAATGTTAACTTGGTCTCACTCTAATTACTTTGTCTCACTCCAGATTTGCGACGTGAAGGCACGAAATAGTGAGCGCGTAACATGCAGGCAACGTCGTATGCGCGCGAAATACGTTGGCAGCACTGGCTGTAAATCAGCTGGTCAGGTGTTGTACTGTTGTATTTGTCATGGTCACTTCACATTAAATGTTATGTTAAAAGTTCACTTCTGTGTAAAAATAGGTTATGTTTCTTCACCAATTTAATTTATTTGTTTTATGGTAACTGTAGGAAAATTATAATGTGCAACTCGAGTTCAAAGTACAATTGCCTCACTCGAGAAACCATTCCTCGTGAGTAAGGGTTTCTCTCGAGTGAGTCAATTGCTCACTTTTCTCACTAGTTGCACAAATAACTATTTCGTCTTTCTTATATTATACCTAACCTGTATAGCAATGTAATGCTGATCGGTTGATAAAATCTTAAAAAAAAGAACCTGTACCTCTTAACCTCTGCTCTTCGAACTGTCAAATTTAAGTATTTACAGCTGACTTAAATTAATTGATATGTTTACATTCTTTCAAAATGTAAACATGGAAAATGTGGAAGCCCATGGGGCGTATCCCGTGGGAAATAGGAAAATTAAATTATATAATATTGCATTGTCATCCATTTGTGAGCTATGTTTCAAATTTCAAGTCTCTAGCTCATCGGGAACTTCATTTAAGATTGATATCAAAATTTGTAGGAAAGCGACTAGCGAGCTAATAAAAACAAGCCCATGGGGCGTAGCCCAAGGGAAATATGAAAATTAAATGATATAATATTGCATTGTCATCCATTTGTGAGCTATGGTTCAAGTTTCAAGTCTCTAGATCATCGGGAAGTATCAAAATTTGCAAGAAAGCGAGTTAATAAAAACAAGCCCGTGGGCCGTAGATCAACGGAAATATGAAAATTAAATTATATAATATTGCATTGTCATCCATTTGTGAGCTTTGTTTCAAGTTTCAAGTCTCTGGCTCATCGGGAACTTAGTATAAAATCGATTGCAAAATTTGTACCGGACAAGAAAGCGAGCTAATAAAAACGTTTTAATTTAAAATAGGATTAGGACCCAAGCTGCACATGGGTAAAATAAAATAACCTACCCAGCAAATGAATACCAGCTGGTACTGCTCGAATGTCAAAAAAATCTGCGTAGCATTTATTTCTCCAAAACCCAAAACAGTAAACTAACCTAAAAATGTTCTTTTAGATTAACATAGTTGTATTTGTATTGTCGTTTTAAACTGAAATGTTTGTTTATTTATTTACAGTTAACTAGATTTGCTATACTATAAGTTAGCTTTTTTCCCAAGCCAATATGCGTTTCCAGGTATTGAGTGGTTTGGGCAGTAGATTAGCCTGCCAGGCATCCAATTCTCTTTTGCCGAAAACCCCTAGTGGAGAAATAAGAAGATTAACGTCCTCTACTGGTATGTTCAAACGATTAACTTTTGAAATACAATAATTTTAATTATCTAACTACACAGTAAAACTACAATTGTCTTTGTCTGACTTACATCAGACTAATATAACATAAATCGTGTAGGCCCTAGGCCTACATGCTTTAAGTTAGCCCTACTTTAGGCATATGCCTATTCCTCTAATAGGCCTACTAGAGACCTTAAATTACATATTATAGCAACTTATTACGGTATTAGTTATTGGCAAAAGCTGGTGTTGGACTTAAAGTTGCTTAAGGGTTAGCTTAGCCTATATGTGCCCAACCTCTCCTAATCTCTGGTTCTCGTTGAATTTAGGGATGGGCTTCATAAGTTAGGTACTTTGACAAACTAGTTCCAGTCGGTCCAGGTCCATGATAGTACCTAGGTACATTGAATAGTTACTTTGTACCTATCGGTACAGGACCTGAGACAGTGACTGCCAGCGCCCGGACACGGCATTTTTGCTTCTGTACGCTGGATCGGTGCAATAGAAAACATGTAGTATTCTTTTAAATTTATTTTGAATCCAGAGCGCTGCATTTAAAAACTGTTTCATTCATAGTTTTAATGTCAGACAAATAATTTATAATTATAGTAGGCTATTAGGCCTGGTTATTTATTGTTCTAGGCCTATTAAGTACATGGCTTTTAAATAAGATTAAATATACAATTAAAGTAACTGTTTTTTTTTTTTTTTTTATTAAGTTTGTATTAGGCCTAAACTAAACTAAGTTAAATATCCAGAAAATAAAATAGCGCAACTTTTTTCACATTGTCCAATGTCCAACACGTACACGTAGTACACACGGTCAAGTCAAGAAGTTAAAGTACCGATGAACCGACCACCGATATAGGTACAAGTACATGAACATGGAACTAAAGTAGACACCTAGACACTGACTGATAACAAAGCCAAAGTATTTTAACGAGGGAGAGAGAGCGTCCGGACTAGGTGCTGTGCGCTAGACCTCTTACCGTTACATTCCCTTGGTTGAATGAGTTGGACCTAGTACCGATCGGTTCTGAAATGTACCGATCCAGGAAAAATCGCATTTTCTCTAAAATGGCCTGAACGATTTTCTTAAAAATGTTGTATGTTTTAGTCCTTCAAATTCCGAACGAAATGGTACAAATCCCACTTCTGTAAAAATTATGGTTCAAAAGTTATTGCAATTTATGTTATTTTCCCATAAAATCACAAAAAATTGGATTTTTGGAGAAAATCTGGCTTTCACCAAAATGAATATGTTATGGTCCTTATAATTCTAAAATAATAGCCTAGTACAACACCCCATTGCTGTAACAATTACGACTCAAAAGTTGTTGCAACTTTTGTGATTTTTTCTATAAAAATCATAGTATTTACTCTCATTGCTTACCCATGATAACTTAAAGGTTGTTGACAAGCTTATGGGAGAAAGTACTTATATGTCAGAATGCTGATACCGTTTATTTTCGTTCTGTCATAATTGTTCTGATGGTTTTTAACATGTTGCCACCAACCGCCACACTCCTCTGTATAAAGGGATTTGAGAAGGCTGGTAGTGAATGTATTAGGCATAATTCGATTTTAAGATAGCCACATATTCAAATAATAGCCTACTGCCATTAATGTTCAAATAGTATTGCCAAAAATACCAGGCATTACAGTATTGACTTTTTTTCTCACTTCCAGCCAAATTTAAAGATGAAGATTTACTTTTATTCTTTAATGAGGAAGTTCAAACTATACTGAAGACTTTAACTGGATTTGACTTGAACAAAGTATTTCAAGCAAGGAAACTGGGACATTCCTTGCAGGCCCCTCAGTATAAATTGATGACTTCTCAACAGGTGGAAGAGGTAAGTTTAAGTTAATTTTACTAAAACCGAAGTTACAGTAGAGTCCCGTAAACTCGGCGTAATGTGGACTGGAAGGGTGTTGAGTTTATGAAATGCCGGGTTATCGGGAACTAGGTTAAAAGTAAGAACAATACAATTTTAAGCTTTTTAACTGTTCATTTATATTTATATTAAAAGTCAGTATTAAGTCATCAGATATAGTACAACAAATCCTTGGTACGAGTTGCGAATGATTTGACTTGAACTGGCTTGAGTCCATGTTTAACTCGGAGTGTCGCTATGAAATACTGTTTGAAAACCAAAAAGGATGTCAGACTATTTGAATGGGCCCATGAGTCATTGAACCAATGAGGTTTTGTTTGATGAAGCCAATAAACTAAAGCTAAATGAAGAAAAAACACAAGAGATAGTCTGCACTTTGGCTAGGCATGTCCATGATAACAGCAAAGTCTCTCTCCTTTGCTTTAAAATTGAAAAAAAAACTTTCATGGGCCCATCATATAAAGGCGGTCAGCAAAAGACTGTCAAGAGTTGTAGATCTGCTCAGAAAACACACACAGATAATAAGTCTGCACTATTTGCTGGTGATACAGTATACCACGTTCTCTTAAATAGTAAATTGAGCTACGGCCTAATGCTATGGTGATACGCGCCTGCTTGCAAAAAATCCTCTTAGGCCTACTCTAGAAGAAGGCAATTTGTATAGTTACTTTCAGTAAAAGACTGGGTCCCTAAGGCGGCGTCCTAGCTGAGCGACAAAATATTTTTTGTCATTTTTCTAGGACGGGGCCTAAGCAACTGTTCATGAAAATAAATGTATATAGCCAATACATTTATCTGTGTTCCATTAATGTCAAAACCAACATATCGAATACCTACCAGAAGTACTATACATACGTACATCAAACCAGGCAATGAAATAGACATATCCTTCTGCAGACTTTTAAAAACAAAAAATGCATAGGCCTACCTGGCCAACACACAAAATGTAGGATAGCCTACCCCAAGCACTGAAGAACCTGGAAGTTCCTAAATTTAGCACTGACTTGAAGACATGGCTAAAAGATAGGCCATATTATAGCCTGCAAGAGTTTCTTACAAGTGTTGGTAAATCCATCACCATAATCCATAATATAAAAGTACCTAGGCCTATTTACAAAAGCAAAGTTTTTATTTTTAAGTAATAGTATTAGTATTTGACACAACCTATCTGGCATCACTGGTCTTGGTAACGTGGGAGGTAATTGTAAGGAGTTATACTTAACTACAGCCAATTACCCACAATTTAGACCAAAGCCACTTTTTAAGCTAGACCCTGACGTTAAAGTTACCTTGCGCAGGTAGCATACCTACCTCCTTCTGGCTTTGAGTAAACACGGCTTAACAAGCTATAGGCCTACTCTAACTTAAGTAGAAATTAGATTCTGGTTCTGAGATTTATTGTGATTTACAGGCAATTGAGAAGGCAAGAGATAAAGCAAGTAAACTTCTGCAAATGCCTCCAGTTGTCCCCATCAGTCAGGAAACTGATGTCGTTTTGTCCAAAGATCCTGAACTCATTGCTCTTGACACGTCTAAATACCTTATCACAGATATATCATTTGGAAAGACCGACAGAGTAAGTAAAGCTACTTATAAATCTGTGTATCTCAGCTTTCAGGCTCCATTTAAAATGTCTTATCCAACCCTTTAGGTAAGGTAAGATTTCTCTTACACCTGTGCACCAGAGATTGATGTTTGTGCTTGTCTTTTTAGACTTTTAGTCCAAAATTGGCTTTAATCCAATTATTTAAATCTTACATGTATCTTTGTAATGAAACATCAACGGAGCTTGCAACACATCAAAAACATCAAAATTTACACACAATACAGTACATGCAAACTTTTAAACTTGAAACAACTCAACAAACAAGTGCCATCATGAGAAGTTTTTAATGTCTCGTGTGTATGTACTGTTTAGTGTGTAAATTTTTAACTTCAACGTTTTGCCAGCTCCGACGATGTTGCATTGCAATGAAACATGTCAGCTTAGTTGAAGTTAGGCGCAATTTTGGACTACTGACCTAAGCCTAAAAGTAATATACCAGGTGTCCCATAATAGTCCCGCCTGGTGAGTTTTTAAACTGCTGCATATATTCAAAAGAGCTTTGATACATGTTACGAGGGTAATGTAAAGTACTAGGTGGACGAGATTTCCCGAGATGACGCCGTCTGAAGTTTGTCAACAATCAACATTTGTGTGATTGTGTTTGTAGATAACTTCTCAAGACTTATAAGTTGTTCTAATGTGTTTTTAGTTTGTAAATATGACTAAACTTGGTCGAAATAAGTCGACAGTGAGCAGTAGCCCCCCCCCCCTTCTTGGAGCCTGGAAAAATAAATTTCAATGTACATTTTGTCCTTAAAACACGCAATGTCATAAAACAGACATCAATGTAGTTTTTTTAGCGAATTTCCCTATAGGGAAGTAGCTATTAGCGAATTTCCCTATAGGGAAGTAGCTATTACCGTAGGTGGCACGGTAAGACCTAGACCCGGGACCGATTTACTTTTTCATTTTGATGTCCCCAGAGGCCAAAAACACCATTCGTTCAAATTTTTATATATGTATATATATATATAGATTTATATATATATATATATATATACGTCCGTGAACGCGATAGCTTGAGTAATTTTGGTCCGATTTTGATGAAATTTGGTTTAAAGGTGTAAAGCGGGATAAACTTGAATGAGTTCGCGAACCAGCATGATCGGACCATGGGAACGGGGCTTTACGGGGGGTTTTATGGGGTAAAAATTGGTTTTTCTCACTTTTGACCCTCAAAACACAAAATTTCCCAATTTCTCTTTAGACCTTTTTAAAGAGGTTTAAAAAACAAATAATTTAGTATATTAAAGTATTTTTGTTCGGTTATTAGTAACGGAGAAAATTTAAAAAATTGTAAATTTAAAATTCCCATGTTATTCTTATGGAGAATATTGTCAAATGTTGTAGTTTGCTTGTTTATGGATATATTTTAATCAAACTTGGCAAATTTATTTATTTTGTACTAAGCTATCAATATTTTACTAAAAAAACACACTTTATTAGTTTTCTTGTAGCAGCAAACCTAGGTACTTGTTAAACCTAATGTTATTAAAATATATTTAACTGAAGTTCAATTCAGACAAATGGAAATTCGCTTAGTCTGCAGGTTTGCTGCGGCGGGGGTATTTATAAAACTTAATAAGCGATGGCAGGCGTAGTATTAAGTTCCACATAGATAAACTTTGTGGACCATAGCACAATGAATAAAACAATATTACGCTATGGAAAGCTGTACGCATCATCCAATTTTTACAGCTGTCAGCTGTTGGCATGCTAAGGCAAAGGGGAGCGCCGCGCGCACGAGCGAGGACAGTGAAACAGCTGATTTCCTGATGTTCCATAGTTAGTTGTCAAATTGTCTGCTAGCCACTAACTTTACACAGGCATCAATCAGCAATCAGCAGTAGCACCAGTAGCCTATTACCATGGACTATATAAACACTAAGTGTTAAAGTTTACATAGTCAATGCTATTACTGAATTCGATACTATACATATTGTGACAGATCTATGAAATGGCGAAAAACGTAAGGTTAAAAAATGTGTCTACTTGCTTGCATGACATATAACAGGTGAAATGGAAGGTTTTAGGACAATTGGACACAGTTCTAGCCGTTAGAAATGGCTTTATCTTTATGCAGTCACCAAACGGCTTTTAGGAGATAGGGCTTCGTACTCTACATTAGAATTTTTAGAGTGGCTAGAACTGTTTTGAAATTCTTCATGAATGCAAGTTCGTCATAGTTTGATTTTTTTAATGTCTACTTGCTCATGACAAAGACAAATGACAGGTGAAATGAGAGGTTTTTGTACAGTTGGACACAGATATAGACATTAATAATGGCTTTAGAAAGTCAGTAAACAGCTTTTAGGAGGATATGGCCGTAGCCTACAATATGTTTTGAGATTTATGAATGCAATCGTCATAGTTAGATTAAAAAATGTCTACTTATTCATGACTAATAAATCGAGAAATGGACGGTTTTGCACACTGATCTAGACATTAAAACTGGCTGTAGAAAGTCACCCAACGGCTTTTAGGAGGATATGGCCGTAGTCTACAGTATGTTTTGAAATTCATGAATGCAATCTTCATAGTTTAATTTTTCAAATGTATATTTGCTCATGACAAACAACAGGTGAAATGGGAGTTTATGGACAATTGGGCACAGTTTTAGGTGTTAAAAAAGGCTTTAGAAAGTCACCAAACGGCTTTAAAAATTCCAAATTTTCTGAGGCTGATGAATAAAAACTGCCACCATTTTGTACTGGGTTGAGTGAGATAGAGACCTCTGGTTTACGCCAATATTCTTTTTAACTAATGGCTTTTAAAATTATGTGCTACTTGATAGGGGTTGCTATTTAAACATTTTTAGCCATCCCCAGCAACCCCTATTTGGGGGTGGGGATTGAATTTCAAAATACCCTTAAAAAGTACTTTGCATTACCCTAGTTACATGTATCGAAGTTCGTCTGAAAATATGCAACCGTTTGAAAATTAACAAGGGGGGTTCTATTATGGGGCACCCGGTATACACCCATGGGCTATCAGAATGAATATTATTTACGTTTGTGTTTGCCAGAAAGAGAAAACTACTAAAACCTGTGTTCAGATTCTGTTCTGTTTAGTACAGTAGACCCCCTCTTAACCGACCTCTTATTAACCTCTTATCCGCCTTCGATCGTAAAATAATACAGTTTGTTATAACCGACCTGGCTTTGAGAGCAGTTCGGTTTAACCGCCGCTTTCTAGGAATCTCGGTATTTCCGCTCCCACGCTGGGCGATGAGAACTGAACCATATGCTTATCTCCATAGGATATGACTAAGAATAAATTATTTTGTATTGATCACAAAAAATATATAGCATAGCCTATTGCCAGTTTGTCATCATCAATCTAGCTTGAGCACATCTGATCTGATTTGTTATCTGTGCGGAAAATTTATAACATCGTAAAATTTGGTACGATTTTGAGAACTGATTATCAAGCTGGAGAAAACAAACAACAACCCAACTTGTAGGCAGGGCAGGGAAGGGGGGTTAACAACTCCAAGGTCAAGATAGTTTTTGTGCCTCGAGCCTCAAGTGAGAGGCTGTAAATAAACATCCTATCTTGTAACAAAATGGTTACTTATATCTTTAATTTTGACAAAAGGTTCTGTATTATGTGATCTTTGGTACTGTATTACGATGGATTTGGAAAGCATCAATTAATACATTACAGTACTAAAGATAATAAAATTGGAATTGTTATTGACTCTTGCCTAGTCTAGTATTATGGTATATTCCACTGAAAGTAGGCCTATTTGACTTAACAGTGTTTTGTGTTTATTTGTAAATTTCTATCAATACGAAAAAGGAATTAAGAGTAGTTAATGCAAGTATGACTTCAAAATAATTATTATATAATTCAAAACGAATAGCACTTCATTACGTTATAATTTTAGGGATTGCCCGTTTTAACCGACCTTTTGAGTTATCCGACCTAGGTCCTGTCCCATTTTGGTTGGTAAAGGGGTCTACTGTATATATCAATTACATGTTGGCACTTGGCAGCATGTTGCAGTTGCTTACACCCAAGAAACAATCCACTGCTTTTAAGACGTGAATTATTCTATCAGCAATTCGAACATTATTCAAACATTCGATCAGCAAAAAGTGTTGTTTTTCAGGGTCAATAACACATTTGTATTTCTTTCTGTCCATCTTGAAATCATTCTGTGAGAGCAGTCTGTGTTCACTTCTAGGCTATACATTGAAAAAATTGTATTGGTAGTTATCAAACAAACAGCATAGGCTTATTGCAGTTCTTGTTTTGGAAGAGAAAAGGTTTACAGTGCAATAATTTATGTTCTGTCTTTTTTAATCAAAGAAGACAACTTACATTTTAAAAATACTGTTAATTTAAAACCTTTTAAAGTGTGGTTTTTTTTTTAGACACGAACGGTTGTTGTACGAGACTTGGACGGAACGTTGCGTAAAGCTCACAGATCAGAAAGAAGAAATGCAAACCAGACATACTTTCCTATACTTGGAAAGCAGTTCAGAGTGCCAAAAATGTTTCAACCAGAACATCTTAAGGTAAAATAGAAACTAGAAATGTAGGCTAAATTGTTTTACACTTTTTCACTTTTGGTGTCTATATAATGCAGGTGAAATGAAATACATTTATTTATCCCATATTATATTGTACAAAATGGTAGATAAAAAAGATAGCAATATTAGACAATGCCGACAACAAGTCCAAGGCACTCAGGCAGGTAATAAATAATGAGAGAAAATCAAGTACCAGTATAGCAAATGAGTGGGAACTCCTAGTAGATGGGGAGACATTACAGGACCCAATCAAAATAGCAAACCACCTCAACAGTTTTTTTGATACAGCTGGGAAAAGGACACATCAGGCCAACAACACCAAGACACACACCAGAACACCCAAAATTCCTCCTTTAACAAATAACAAACTAAAACTTCTGCTTGCAACACGTAAGTACTAAGTAAGTAAACCAAATGAAATAATATATCAGCCAAACTGGTCAAAACATGCAAAATGAACTGATTAACCCACTAACAGCACTCATAAATAAGTCTCTCAAACAAGGGGTCTTCACAACACATCTGAAAACTGCCAAGGTATACCCTAAATATAAAAGTGGACCAAACACAGATGCTAAAAGTTACAGACCAATTTCACTTATACCGACCTTCTCTAAGATCTTCGAAAAAAATCGTCCTTAACAGACAAATATCCTATCTAGACCAAAATCTGCTGCTCACCAGCCAGCGACATGGCTTCCTTAAAGGAAGATCCACTACCACTGCCTTAATACAGCTCACCGAGCACATAATAGAACAACTAGAAGATGGCTCCTCAGTCACAAGTCTGTTTCTGGACTTTAGCAAGGCCTTTGACTGCCTTAACCACAAGACACTTCTTAGAAAATTGGGAGCTCTGGGTATTGAGGGAAGGTCTAAGCAATTGTTCTACAGTTTTATTATTAGCAGACAGCAACTAGTTGAGATTCAGCATGTAAAAAAAACACTCGCCATAAAATACATTCCAAAATTGTCTCTATACGGAGAGGAGTACCACAGGGATCAGTTCTTGGACCAGTCCTGTTCCTCCTCCTCACAAATGACCTACCAGACCAACTACAAGAATACTGCCAAACCACAATGTATGCAGATGACACTGTCATCACACTGACAAATCAACAGAAACTTTAAACCTTAACATCAATATAACCTTGAACATGACTAAACAATATTGCACAGTAAAGGAATTGGCTCTAAATTAAAAGAAAACTGTTCAGCTGAACTACTCTACTAACAATAAAGACTCAAACGTATTAATCCCTGGAATAGAAGCACAAAATAGTACTAAATATCTCTGCATTATCATAGATTCAAAAATGACAAGGTAACAGCACATTGACTAACTCTGCAAGTAGCTACGCTCTGGCATTTATAGGCGAGTGAAGCAGCCTACCATGCCCTGGTCGACTCACACGTCAGGTATGGTCTGGGAAGGTACATCCAACAACTATCTAAAAAGAGTCCTCATCCACCAAAAAAGAGCTATAAGACTTTAATATCAAGGAAGCAGTTGTGATGCATTTAAGGAACTAAAAATCCTCACACTAACATCACTTTACATTCGTGAGGCAATTCTCCATGCCATCTCCACAAATCAAACAAGAAACAGAGACATTCACCATCACAATACACGGAACGCCTCAAGTTTTGCAATACCACCTCACCATCTAAGTTTCTTTGAAAAGAAGCCATCCTACAACCTGTATTTCAACAATCTACCAGAACAACTTAGAAATGAACAAATTCACCGTTTCAAGAACCAATTAACGACATGGCTGCAAGAAAGGTCATTCTACTCAGAAAAAGAATTCCTTGACAACCTTTAACAACATATTAAATCCACCAATTTTATTATTATTCTGACGCATGTACTGTTCTTAACGAACATGTAAATAAACATTATTGTCTATTGTCTATTGCCAGATTAGAGAGGGTCTACTGAACTTCCCTGATGATCCTTGTTCTTCCAACACTCAATAATACCTTTAACTCTTTATATTTGTCTCCTGCTTGTATCCACTTAACCCTATTAGTGGCCTATATTAGAAGTGGGGAATGGCCAATCCATTTCAATAATAATAACAGGGTTTGTTTATATAATAAAATGAATGTTCAGAATGTGATTTTTCGAATGGTATGTATATTGTTCACATCAGAGTTGATTATAAGCGGTTTTTTCACAGCTCAAAATATTTCGGTCCATACTAGCGTATTACGCCGGTGGCCATTCTAAGGCGTCACGGCGAACGAGCGTATTACGCTCGATGGCCACTGCTAGGGTTATGGTGTTAAGGTGTTAGCTGCTGTCTGGCATGGTACCAAGAGCCCTACAGCAGTGAACAGTCTTGCCCTGACAAATAGGGCCACTGCATTGGCTGACTAATTGTTTGCAGGCAAAACCAGGGCAATGGGTTACCTGCAGAGGTTGAGTATAGCGAAGAAGGGTTTCCCTGGTATATGCCAACACTACAAAGAGAGAGGGCTACTTTTATTGTACTGAACTGAGCCTACATCAATGTTAAGTTTTCACAGGTTAAGAATCAAAATGGACGTTGTTGATTAGATGTCAATAAAAGGTTACATTACCTGCAGACTGCCATCTAATTGATTAGATGTGCTGACAGAATTTGCTGATGTAAATTACAGATTTCTGTTGATTATACTAACTTATTAACCAAATCAATCTAATTGGCCAAGTTTTTGTAAAGTATAGCATCTTTTATGTCATACTAGCTGGCCCGACAGACGTCGTCCTGTCCAAATGTGGTTTTATGTCAAATGCTCGTTCATTTCCAAGATGAGCTCGTTCGCATGGCTCAATCACGTCCTGGTTGAAGTTTGTTTGCTACGCTCACTCACCTTTAGTGACTAAAACTAAGGGAGAAAAATATTTTTTGACTGTAGCACATGCTGTTTGGAGCTCTTTCAACTATGTTGGTTTTATTTGAAATTGGATACAGCTAATTTGCACATATTGATGAGATGTCTACTTAAGCACCAAAGTCAAATTGGCACCATGTACAGTTTAGGGCATCGTAGGATGGAATCTTAAAATTAACATATTTGATTAATCTTCCAGTTTTTTTTAAGGCTTTTGGTCCTGATTTTGTGCTTTTATACAATATTCACTCTTTAGTTAACCAACATTCTCTACTTGGATGACCCAGTACTATATTGTTACAGCCTGTGCTAGAGAGAGGGGACTACTTGTTTGTACTAGACAGAACGTGTGTGGAGTTTGATGCAGACGACCCTGAGTATCACAGAATCACACACACTACTTATAATCACATTGATGAGAAACAGGCTTACGGAACGCTTAGGTTCACTCGTCACTTCGGACCCATGGTTTTCTACCTAGTCTTGAGTGATAATATTGATAATCTCCTTTTGGAAAACTTAAAGACAGCAAGGTAGGTTTACAATTGAAGAGTTCTTAAGGCCTGTAAACACGGAGCTATACTCTGTCTGAATTTAATGTGCGGTTGAATCACAAATTTGTATTCTCCTGCTTTCTCCCTGGCCCCTGTCACCACCACACATTAGCATACAGCTGGTTCACTGTTCATATTTTTACAACAGGTGTCACTTTGTTTACATTTAGTGGTTTAAATAACATTGTGATTATTCTGATGGTATTTTGTGCAGTTTAATATTATCCAGTCTGAGTTTACTTGATGGTTAATCAGAAATGGCCAAAAGGTGCCAAGATATTACAATCCAAACTAAAACACACAATAAAAATAAATCTTCCCGTTTTATTCTGTGGTAGTTCAATCATAATAAACAAAAGCTTCCTAAAACACTGTCTGCAATATAAAACAGATGATTTTTAGGGGGATTTCAGTGTAGAAAAGGGTAAATGAGTGGGAGATTTCCCATGATAGGGAAATCATATGTTGAATTCCAACCGCACAATTATTTTAGACAGACTATAACAGTTGTTGCTTATTGATAAACACATGATTTAGTCCGATAAAAATACTACATTAGCAGCAATGGTATAGCACGTTAAAATTTTACCTGCACACTAGTAACATTTACCATGTCTGTTAATTCAAGTGCAAATCTTCAAACTCTCCAATGGACTCTGCCTTACAATCCAAAAACTTAAGGGTTATTATTTCATACACATGCACTTTAAAATAAACAAAATTACCGTATGTAAAAAAAAATTCAATTTGGTTGGATCTGCACAAAATCTATAGACAATATCAATGCAAGTTAACAAAATGAATTTAAGACAAAATTTTCAAAAAGAAGTCGCAGAATTGTCTTTTTTTAGCTCTAAAAAATTTGCTTCTCAAAATGTCCTTAAATACTCTTGTTTTTAGTCATTAGTGTCACACGTTCATGTCAGTTTGAAATCTGATGTTATTAAAGAGTTCTGAAGGACCTGTAAAATGAGATCTTTGTTTGAGAAATAGAAATTTGTGGACCTTAGGCCTACTTTATCTATGATTGCTATTATATAGTTACTCTCATAACAATGCACTGTTCTGCAGGCTATCAGATGCAGCTGCATTGATACAGCTCCATCATATCGTCCATCCCAATACAAAGTCTGCCAAAAACAAGCTGCAGAGTGGTCAAGAAATGGCATTTATTAAGGTAATCAATCTTAATTTAAATAATGATTCTCTTTAGGATTAAATGTATTCCTACCTGTCCATCTCAAGCAAAATCTGGCAAGTAAAATGCCCTGACAAGCTGCCTTCGCGTGTTGAATTTAAATTTTGTCACGTTTCCTAGAAAACGCTTCCGGATTAATTTCTAAAATTCTATTTCCTACCTTATTTTGTTGTTGATCAATTTGATGGGACATAACAGTTGATATAGCTCAAAAAGGCATTCTATTAGTTTTACTTTGTAAAAAAGTTTGTTTATTCAACAGAAACTACAAATTTAAAGCAACATAATCTGTCGGTGGCTCGCATCAATTACGACAATTTTGATAAAATACTGGTGACAACTTTAATATGGGCATGGAATGTCTAGTTGTATCAATAGTCAAAGCTGATAGTAACATAACCTTTCTAGCTTATGTGTGTTTTAACACGTTCGCGGCGTGCCTCTCACCAGTGAGTGCTCTAGTTCCTTTCTGCCACGCTGAATGCTCACACTTGGAAGAATGGGTATTTTTATGTCTGCAGGAATGGGTGCTTTATTGTGGTGTCGGTTGGTAATAAATTTCCCTGTAAAATCCCCTTCTGGCAAGCTTATAAATCAACTTGTTACCCATATTTCTCTCTCCATTTGGCAATGTAATGGGACCGGCTAGTTCCAGACAGTGCTGCTATCTATGAGTGTTTCAGCAAACTACGTTGACTCTCGTCGTAACACAGAACATCACCGCACGCCATTTGCCATTCATCAGACCGAAATATTTGAAAGCCAAACAGGTACGCTCGACGCTGCGCCACACTGGGGCTACGCCTGCCATTGGTGGGCCACAGCGAACGTGTTATGGAACAATTTATTGTACTTAGAAGTTTCTCTGTAAGAAAAAAGTGTGTAAAACCCGCTAAGGTCTCTATGAACCAAAATGCTCTCTCATTCTCAACACAAGGTGAAGAGATTTAATTAAAGTGACTAATAGCCAACAATATTTTTATGATCTATCCTTTGCTTGGTGAAAATATTTCAGTTGAATATTACTGTCTGTTTTATCTACAATTGTGTGAATTTTACAGGAATACATTGACAATGATTCCAAACTGAAAGTGGCTCTGGAACTAGCTTTGATGGAAAATGACAAAAGAGAATTTCCTGAGGCCCAGGCTAGCTCTGGTAACTTGTAATTAGCTTTTTAAAATATAGAATATACAATATGAAACCAACTATCAAGTGTTTAGTTTATTCACCCATATACAAGTAATTAGTATTTTTCTCACACCAAGTGCTAAAATCAATGTTTGCAATCGCAGGATAATGATAATGTTTCAATACTAATAAGTAACGGTGTTAAATATGGTATTAAGAGGTAAAATTATAAGAAATACCTTTAGATCCTAAAACTGAAGATCTGTTCAGTTTTGGTAGAACAGGAACAAGATGAGCAGAGAAGCGATGGCTCTGGCCAGAGTGATGAAAATCGAAGGACCAAAAATGAAAGATTATGTTGAAAAATGACTATTGTTGTGTAGTATGTAATTCTTCACTGATTTAAATTAAAACTCTTCATTAATAAAAAGAAAGCAATCCACTACTCATGAATATTCTGGACTGTACACGAAAAATAAAAATATCTTCTTGGATCCTTGCTTGACACTTGGTACTATAAATTTGGAATCAATATTTAAATTAGAAATAATGCAATTGTTGTAATAAAAGAAAGAGAGATTAAAATATTTAATCTAAGCTAAACCAAAAGGTAAGCACTGTGTACTGTGAGTAGGGGTCTCAATCCTGAAATCACGAACCCCGTGATCCCGGCCGATTTTTGATCCCTAGAACCTATGTTTATATTGATTTTTTTGTGAATTTGGAACTTTAACTTACGGAAAATAAATAAAAATACGTACAATAACACTTGAAACACTAAGGGACGGTTCACGAGCTCGGGACTATCGTAGTCCGAGCCCAGAATCCGGAAATAACCGGTATTTGGGCCGCGACTTAAAAAATCGGGTTCACGAGCTCGAGACTATATAAGCCGCGGACCAAACTGATAGGCGGCACACAATTAGTGCAGGGATAAAACCCGGTTTTAAAAGTTGGGTTCACGAGTCCAATTACAGATAGTCCCGGCTCTGATCATTAGTCCCGGTGGGTTCACGAGTCAAGTCCGAGCCCAAATGAGATGGTTCAGGCCCAAAAGAACAATTGTGTTTGGTCTCCAACTCAGACCTGGTAGGAGGCAGGTTTAACGTGACATGATGCAGGTTTTATCTAATTAGCTCCTTTATTTTTATTATTTGTTAAAAACTAATGTTTAAATATGGTTCCTCATTAAATTCCTAACAGTTTCATTACCCACAACACCATATTTAAAAAATATGTAAAAATGGTAAAAAGGATCATAAAACATGAAAAAAATCATCAAACAACTTAAAACAACAGATAAATTATGCACGTAACAAAGTAGTATCATAACAAAGATATTTTACTGATAAACCCCATGTTATTACAATTTTAACGACAAAATTATGCGTAGAATATAAATATAACTAATCAGCCACAGTTAAAACATCGTTATCCAACATAATTATCAGAAATAGTTTTTTGCCGTGGGAAACATCAAGCAAACCGTCTGTCGTTGAGTACGGTTCGCGGTGATATCACCGTCTTGTGTTGTAGGCTACTTGCTGGTCGCCGTGTGTATTGAATATGACTATGAAATATCTATACTGTATTATGTTAACAATTATGTACCATCACTCCACTACCTCGCATAGGACCAGCTCGTTATCATGACTAAAACCCTTTTATGACTTGACGAATTTAAAGATAGATTAAAATGTGTCCAAAGCCGTCAATGAGACATTTGAGGCGTTCACTCCAAGGCACGGATTTCCCGACAGCAGAATCCATTACAGTATTCTAAATTGAAAAAGAAATGTCAGTTGCACTAATATTTTTGGCTGATGGCACTTTTCATCGAGAAACTGGTGATTTATTTAATGTTAGTAAAGTTTGGATGGTAGCTATTTGTTTGGTAATGAAAGCAGAACAAATCAAATTTTCAGTTTGAAACTATGCCCAAAGAAAAAAACTATGTTTTCCTACTAGTAAATATAATATAAGTAAATCCTTCCTACCTAGTAAATATAAACGCATTGTAATGAAACTGATTTTAAAAATCGCAACAACACAAAATGTAAATTAAAAACCATAGCTGTTAACATAAATAATATTACAAGCTAATTGCAGAATATTATTTTCAACATTTTACAGTTAGATTATTATAGAGTGGAAGAATAACGGAAAGAATATTCTTTGTTTACAGCCACGATTAAATCTAGCACACACATACGATTTTTATATCTAATAATCAGTACCTCTAAATACATTTTAGTTTCAATAATTGTATTATTTAAATAAGTTTAGTTAAAATTATCCTATCCAAAAATCACCATCCTTAATTATCGTGCATTTATGCAAAATAGGCATTCATCCGGTTATAAATAGGCCTACCCGGTTATTTTATATCATGCATCTTAATTGAATTATAATAATGCACACAGAAAAATATATTTCTCTAAAGACTTCCATTATCTGACACAAACGTGGATTGTTGTGTTTATAAATAAATAAACTTAGATAGATTATCATAGGCGAGCATTGGGACAATGAAATACGGGAAAAATAATCGGTTTGGACGTTTTGGTTCAGCCCTTTTTCACGATCATCCTATTGTATGGAAGTGCGTATGTCAATAGCAGTGGCTTCACATGTGTTTCCAGACTGTTGTTACTGGTTGTTACCAACGTCTCAACAGAAATTCCCTGCGAATCCCTGTCATTAGGCTCCGCTATGGATTTGGTCTCGACCTACAATGGGCCTGGCTTTCACATCATTAGGCTCTGACTCGTGAACCCATTTTTTGGTCGTCGCTTATATAGTCCGGGACCAACGTCTGGTCGCGGACTATGAAGTCCCGAGCTCGTGAACCGCCCCATATACTCTTAATTTTTAGGACAATATGAAATGGTATAAGTAATGATCCATTTTGATTGGAAAAATAAATTATTATTAAACTCAAAAGGTGAATGAATGTAAATATATGTTTCAGTTTTTAGGCGATTTGGATTTACTTTCTGTAAAGGTTATTACATTATTTAGAACTTAAATACAGTAGGCCTATAAGTTATTTTGAGTTTTACTTTTGACATTAAACGTAAACAACGCAATTCGTGTAGCAAACATAACATTGCAATCGGAAATTGAAGTATTATTTTCATTGAAGCCATAAAATATAACTAGCCTATAAACAAACACACAATTATAATTTCATTATTAACATTTCTGTCAGTGAAAATAAAATGCTGCTACTGGTGATTCTTCCCATTTTATCTTTTTATCTTAGTTATTTTTAATCCATCTATTAGCATTACGACTTACGTGTGCGGTTGCTCGTGATTTTTTTTTAAATGTATTTATTATATTCTAGAGTGACACATCAACATTTTTACACTGTAAATAAGAAAGATGGGTGATAAAAGTTCCGACCAAATTCCGCAGTGTAACACTGGTAAGGCCAGTTTAAACCCATACAAGTACAGCTGTCTTTGATCGTTATTACGACCAGGACAGCACTAAGACATCAGAGCAGCATTGTCAATATAAGAATTTTCGTCCTGAACCATGGGAACGAGTTTTATGGGGTAAAAATTGGGTTTTATCATTTTCTTTACCCTCAAAACACAAAGTTACCCAATTCTGCTCTAGACCATTTGAATTAGATTAAAAAACAAATAATTTAGTATATTAATGTGTGTTTTTGTATGATTATTGGTTACGGATAAAGTTCAAAAATTGTAAATTTAAAATTCGAATGTTATTCTTTTGTAGAATAGTATAAAATGATTTATTTTGTTTGTTTATAGATAGGCTATATCTTGATCAAACTTGTCAAATTTATTTGTTTTATACTAGGCTATTAATATATTTTACTAAAAACACACTTTATTAGCCTCCTTGTATCAGAAAACCTAGATAATTGTTGGAACGCAATGCTATTGAAATAGATTTAATTGAAAATCAACTAAGGTAAATGGAAATTCGCTTAGTCTTCATGTTTTCTGTGACGGGGGTACTTAATATTTTCTATTACTCCTTGTGATCCTTCCCCCTTACGGAGTAAAGAATTACAGTTATTTTCAATAATCCTCTCTTATATAGAGCATGGAGGTAACTAATTTTATTACTTTATGAATAAATGTTTAAATATTGAAAAAAGTAATAATATTTGTTGAACACCCTGTACGGAGTGGTTTAATACACTTAAAACTAGTCCCAATCGTTTCAAAATAACTAATACCATAGAAAACCACACCTCACTTGACCTTAAACATAAAAAACAAAATTATTCAGGAATTACCCCCCACGGAATAAAAAAAGACCCCAAAAAGGGCCTTAGGACGCCCAATTTTTGGGGACTCATTGGATCTTTATTTCTCATACTATTAGTAACTCACAGGTGAAAGCATAAACAACTCCCTATTTCACCTGTGCTAATGTCACTAACCCTTACAGAGAGTGTGAGTCTATTGAAGAGTTTTGATCTTTTTTTTCCAACAATAAAATATATTTGAATACATATATGAAACCTAAAAAATATACTTATCACTGGTCAGAGTGTGTAAGAACGCTCTTGCAGAACTTGTATTGCATTAGATAAATCCGAATTAAGAGGTGTTAAATAAGAGAAATGCAATGTGTTTTAGAGGATCATATTTACAAGTAAAGATATATATATTATATAACAATGCATTTCTATACAAAATACTGTTAACATTTGTGTTGCTCCTTGTATACACTGACAATACACTATTAATTAATATATTCACATAAAAATATGTTCTCGTACAACAAACAGAAATCAAAATAATTCCACTACAGTACTCACTGGATAAGCTTAGAAGTAACAAGAGATTTATAGATGCAAATGAACAAGTCATGAAAAGATATAAATGGGTTATCTTTCTATTACTTTTAGGCTGTGTGCACACCGGACTAAAATAACCACTCTGATTAATGGACTAATTTGAAAAATAAGAAATGTTCTTAAAATATTGTACTGAAACACAAAACATTTCTGTGACAGTTAATACCCAAATATACCTTTTCATCTTTGAAGATTGAACACCTACTCTATTATTTATCATTACAGTTATTTACTGACTTGTTAATGTTGATACAAGACCATTTCTATATTTCAGTTGGGAATGTTAACGACAGTAATTGATTAAGCAAATAGTTGTATAGGTGTAACGTTAAAGATATTTTAAGATAAGATTTTAATATTATCTCTTACGTCTAATGAACAATTTCTATTTACCTTTTTCTATTAGGCTTCTAATAGAACATTAAAACTGGACGACTAATTTACAGATAATACTTATTTGCTTATTTACGTCTGAAAGGTCATTTTGTACCTTGGAGTTGAATCCACTTTCTGAAGAAATAGCATTGGAACTAGAAACGTTTAGAACTTACTGTCAAACCAACGTTCATTATAATTGGGATTCCAGATTTATCTTGTATTTAGGCTTATGAGAATGGTTTTTATGATCTTTTAAACCTTAATTGTAATAATATTACTCTTTGAAATATACTTTATAACGATATATCACACAATAGAACAATACTTTAATTCAAGCGTATTTTGAGTTAAAAATTAAATTCACACATAAAGCTTCTTACAACACTGCTTTACAAATCTGTAAAAATATTTGATTTCTCGTTTTTCTGAGCAATCAGCCAAACTACATTGCAGTCAAGAGATAAAAAAAAATAGCAAACAGCAAATTCTGATTGTATACATTTAATTGACTATTTGCTTGCTATTCACTCATCGGAAGACTAACTTTGACAAGAAGTCTTATAACACATTGCATTAACATTGAAATTAAAACTTTGATTGTAATTTGAATGATTAAAATATATTTTTGTTTTGAAGGAGACTCATTATGTTCCTTCCATCTAATTTTTCTTTCAACATATACCATTTAAAATAACACAACAGCACAATAATAGTGTTTACTCATTCGATAGAACTAAAGGCAAGAATAGACCTAAAAAGTAAACCTCCCTAAAAGAGAAATCATTTTGTGATAATGACAAACCTATTATGGTTGTTTAACTTTCATTCACTTCAGTTCTGGTATTGCTTGTGTTTTTCAAGAAAAATATGCTCTTATACTACCCTGTTCTGTTGAAATCGTGAGCTACGTCTACTGACAACTCATATGGTTACAGCAGCACCCAAGTTCTTGGATGAAATAAAATAGAACGTGACGACATTCTACAGGCACTTAATCAATTCTTTAGTATTCTCTATTTGTACCGATCAACAGATGCAGAAACCGTGGTAATTTAAAGGCACCATTCAATGCGCCGATCAGCTGTATTGCTAGCAAGAAACGCCTATTTTATATTGTACTCTAACACAAGATTCAAATGGACCTTTCTCACAACAGGTGAATACATCTGTTGTTCAAGGATAACTGTCATCTTTTCAATATTTATTTTCATTTTTACACTAAAAGACTGTACAGGGTAATTTGAGGTGGCTACAGATTTTGAACCGCGACATTACAAATATTTACAGGTTCGGTAAACTAAGACATCACTAACGAAAGCATATCACTACAGCAAATAAAACAAATTGCTTGGTAAAAGGGTAAGACTTTACAATTGGAGGAGATTGCTATATTCTAAGACTACTTAGAGTCCATTCTCTTTCTCAGTTTTGCATGTACTTGGAGGAACTCCGGCTTGTTGTTTGAGGTTGGATCCTCTTCCCCATTGTTCTTTTCCAGCTGCAACAAAAAAATTGATAAATTTAGTACTGATAGTAATCCTAAAATCATTATTTTTTGTGTATACATAAAGTCACTATAAATATATTGTACTTAAATTATAATATCGTTATTTTATCTTTAACAAGTTGAATGGTAACAATTAATTGTAAAATTTGTGAACTACTTCAACTTATTCATTCAACTTGTACAAAATATGAGAGAAGCAATTGCAGCTGAATCGTAGGAACCAATACACGGGGAAACGTTTAAAAAACCATTCTAACCAATAGCATGGCTAGAGCTGAGAACACGGTGATTTACTGTGTAACAGTGTTATAGGATGCAGTTATAGATATGAACAAAACAGAGAGGAATACAGCTCAGTCATTGACTGGTTCCAAGTACTACAAAATGCTGGGAAAATATGGGACAAGGAAAATGCTAGCCAAGAGGCGCTGTTAGAGACCCTGGATTTTCCCAGGTAAGCTAGCTAATCTCCGTCTATCTGCCTTTAAAATAATTCCTAACCAGCCACTTGTCTCCATAAAAAAATAGGAAATGTAGTTAATTTTCTTGGATATCTTATCGCTAAGAATATGAATTTTCATATTTTACTGCACAAACAACACCCAGTCTTCAGTTTAAAATAGGATCGGATCAGTCAGTATGACATAGCAACCTGTCAATATTGGCTAGATTCAACTGGACCTCCAGAACTATTGTCCTTCTCTTCAACCACTCAAACAGACACGTCCTATTCTTAATAATAACAATCAAGTGTAGACTTACAGATTCCAGTCTGCGAGCTCTCTCCTCTATGACCTTCTCAAAGGGTGTTCGAGTCTCCTGTTTCTGCTGCTCCATCTCCTTCTTCATCTGAGATTCTTTGTGTTTCTCCAGGGCCCTCTGTAGCTCTGACTTCTGGTTCAGCACATTCTTTCCTCTGCAACAACATGTGACTGTTGCAAAGCTCAATCTTACAGGGATGTGATAACTTTGAGGTTTTAAACAAGAGCTGTAGCTGAAATTTTTAGTAATAGGTATAATAATCAGTGAAAAATCAAGATATAAATTAGGAACACATAGAATCGTGTAAAGAATTTTCTAATAGCAGTATTGAACATTTGTGATATTCAGACCAGTGATTATGTGATTAACAAATCCACAAACACACACACCACAGAGACACATACAAAACCACTCAAGAATAAAATGGGAAGACGTTCTATATTAGTTTTTAATATGACTAGGGGTAAGAACGTGTGCGGTTATTTAGTATGGCAATTCCCGGAATCGTAACTCTATACACTCTTAATATCAATTGACACCATTTTTCCTATGTTAAAATGCACCTGCACTTACTACTTCTCTGTAAATTCAGTATAAGAGCGTATTTTAACATTACTCGTTTACAACATACAGTTTGAAACCTCAGTTCGCATCATAACCAATATGTTGGAGGTCCTTATGGATATTCCTGTCTAAAATCATATGCTTTTAATTTTTTTAGATTGTGTTTGATTCTGAATTGATTTATTTCTTACATATTTAACATGTCCAGTGACGTGTACGTCCCTAAAGCCTGGTGTGTATTTTCCAAGAACACTCAGAGGCGACAATAAGAGTTGTCTCAGTGCACCCAATAAGGTAAAGAGTCTAACAATATAGATCATGCGAGTTAGGAGTACTCGACCGGCCATAGGGTCGGACAATACGATAATCGAGATAATACTGTACTGTATCAGCTCGGCATAAATAACATATTAGGTCTAGTAATAGGACCATTATCTATTATGCTGTTTATAACTATCAGCAAATAACTCACACTTTCTGGTTGAAGAGCAGTTCTCTGTGCAGGTCCCGATGGTCACGAGACTGTAGGCAAGGGTTGGGCAGCTTGCGGGGCATGATGAGACCTTCGTCTGGCAGCGGGGGCGGTGGATCTGGCCTAAGGCCTATCACAGGGGGCTGCGATGTATCCGACAACATGCTGTGCTTGTCTGTAACATACAACAACACATCAGTATCATCTAGAGTCATCAAGCCCTAATTCTTTCCCTCGGCGTGTCTATTTTGACCCTATTTTATTCAATGTAATATCAACAACTTGGCATAAATCATAAAGTCGCTGGTTTTATCCTGAGAAGTCAGCTGAAAACAAAAAGAAAAAGCTGATTTTATTCATTTACAAAGCTACACAGGTCATCTTAATCATTCTAGAGTTAACCTTTATTCACATTTGGGTTAAAATACTCCCAATTGTGAATTATCTGTCTGATAATCTGGAGTAGTTGTACTAATCTAGAATCAACTTAGACTAGACCAACCTTCTATCTAGAAAACCCTTGGTTCAGAACCCAAAAATCAACAACATAGCAATTTGATCAGCGATTATGCTGTATGAACTCAAATATATTTTATGTTAAGTGAAAAGAAATGTCTGCGTATTAGGAAACTATACAACAGAAAATAAGTGCTTCAGTAAAGAAAAATACCACTTACAAAACATATAATTGTTTTCATGACTAAAATTATATACGGAAAGTAAATAAAAGAAACGTCTTTTAACACTTAAACCATGTATAGGTCATTCGCCTATTGGGTCTGATGATGATTGGATTGTCCAATTGAAATCGATTACCACTTACTATCTTTTATATATATTTACCGTCTTGTGAGTAACAGTATAAGCGTAAACAGTGCTCGATTTGTGGGGGAACACGGCAGAACAAAGTTCCGGTACCTCTCTTTGGAAAAAATAAAAATAATGGCATAAATAGAAACTAATCACAATAAATTGGTTACAGTTCTGGAACCTAATTTTTTACAAATCGAGTAGGCCACTGAGCGTAAATATATGTTTTTAAGTGTAGTAAGTTGTTTCTTTTATTTACTTTCCGTCCGTAAATTTAATAACACGTACAATGCTTATCAAGAAGTTATTAAAAATTATATGGGATTGTTATCCTTTTTAAATAAATTTTTCCAACTCATATAATCTAATAAAAAAACAAACCTGTGCAGAGGAATTAATTACAGCAAGTCTGGTAACTGTGACTACTTTAATTAGGGAGCTTGAGTAGTAGTACATTCATGAATGTAGCATAGAAAGAGCATTAGCAGACCGAGCCCCTTGACTTGTTACATGTCCACTCTCTCACACTCCAATTAGTCCAGCCCTAGTGGCAGTCGCTACTTCTGTGGCTTAGTTTTGACATGGCGAAATAAGCAAACATATATCTTAAGAAAAACCATTGTCTGAGCAATTGAAATCATTTGCGTGGTATTACATAACTTATAAACACAACTTATACAACAAACTTTATGTATATTTTGATTGTCGTAACTTTCACTTTAAATTTTTGAAAAGTCTATTATCAAAATGGATAAGAAATAAGGCCTTTTATTCCGCTACAGAATTGTTTACTTACAGTTTCTATGTTTGGTAAGAACTAGTTGATCTTAAACAATCTTTCATTTTTTGTTAGGAATATTCATTTAAAGTTACACTTTTTTTCTTATTTATTTGTACTTTACTATGTACTTACAGGCAAGTCGCCTTTTCCTCATAATTAATGTCTGGAATAATGATACTTGTATTACATTTATATCACAAAATGAATCAATTTGATCATTATTAGTTTGGTTCTATATTTAAAAAGTCAATCATTTTTGCAGTTTTGCTTCATTAGAGAGCTTCTAAAATGAAATATGTGTAAATTCAAAAACCACAGAAGAGATGTACTATTGTTTTTGACGACATATAAAGTGATTCACCGAAATTTAATGCAGGGGGGTTGGGAGGGAGGGAACCAAAATATGAGTAAAGTGCAAATCATTAATATTTTTAATGTAAGATTATACCAGTATAACCTTTTCATATTTACACATTTCACAGTATCAACACAGTTTCAGATATTGTCACACTGGCAAATTCTACTATATCAATAAAAATTTATTTATTCCAGAAAAATTAAATTTTGTTTATACAATGGTCAACTTGGAGTACTAGCCTACTCGTAAAAATATATTGATGTAGGAAAATGGTACTTGGTTAGTAGAGAAAACTGTTCAAACTCATCCACATTCACACCTAGATATGTCAACTCAACTCGAAATAGAAAACAGCTCAGAACGTTATGTTTTGCAGTAAAACATAAGGAAGAAACTTTTGTTCAAAGTTTTACATACCTGATGGTCCATTTTTTTCTATTATTCCTTTCAAATGCATACACTTTTTATGATCAGTAAACTGTAATTTTATAATTCCTTCGACAATCACCACTTGGCTGAACAGTGTGTTCACTTTCAATGAAAGAGCTTTACACATTTCCCAAACCTATCTTATCTTTGGGTTTATTCTTGGCCTTATCAAGTGTGTGTGACATAGTAAATTTATCTTTCTCATGGTTTATTTACAGTAAATAGCTCATAATTCCAGTAATTCTTCTAGACAATCATGGATCATTCATGTACAGTATGAGACTGTACTTTGTTTTTTACTGTAATATGACAAAATTTAAGAGTCTTCCGTAGTGGAAGCCATGTTGGATTTCTTCCCCATAAGAACAATGTTAAACATTACATTATTTGTGGACACGTAACGGCGTTATTTGTTAAGATATAGCTTTGAAATTTATAATTTGTATTTTTAACATAATAGACTCGTGAATGAGGTTTTTGAATTTCGAAAATCCATTTTCATTTCCTTTCAATAATTAGCTTAATTTTAAGCTAATTAATAATCAACTAGTGTACATGTTGCTCGAATTCGAGCAGTTGCAAAGTATTACAGGAGTTTTAGAGTTATTTCAAAATGAATAACAGTCATATTTACAATGAGTTTAAAAGAGTCAACTTAAAGATTACCGGTGTGTAACTCAGACCATGTTTATCTTCGTTATTGATAAACCTAAAGAATTCCGGCCGGTTTTCTCCTTCTCAAAATGCCTCGCTGTACAGGCAACACAGGCCATTGATAGAGGGCCAATTGAGAACGAAAAGTCGTTTTGGGGTAGTGTTAGGGCGCATTTGTAACCTAAGGCTGTGGTTTCCTAGACGCGTATTAGATGCGCTGCGTGTGCGCATCTAATACGCAGCACACTTGTCTTATGGAGTTTCGTGTAAGCGGTTTCCAAGGCTGCGTATCTAATGCGCGCGCATCTAATACGCGCGCACCAATAGCTGCGTATTTCACTTACTGCTCTCAGAGCAGTCAAATCTGAGTTGCGCTGCGTTTTAGACATGTCTCGTGCAATGGATTCGGAAGTAAATTTTGTACATTAAGGCAAAATTCTCCAACAACGACGAAAAGTTAATTGAGTTTGTATCTTCTAACAACATATTATTGAAGTACTCTGTTCATACAATTAAAATTTTATAGTATTAAATTTCATATCACTCATTATGTAGTGTTAATTTCCCCATAATGTGTGATTTTAAAATTGAATTCCCTTGTTACATGTTCCCTACAATTAATTTGTCCTTACATATTTTCTTATTGTTGTTATTAGTAAATAAACCTAATCTTGACAAATATTCATTTCATGTCAGCACAACACCAATTCCCAGATATAAGAGCCCCCATAATTATTTTAAGAAGTCCTGAACATTTTAGTAATAAGCCAATATTAATTACTAGCACAGTACCCAAACTTCTTACGGGGTTAGCGTACTGTTTAAGTATAAAACGCTTATTGCAGTTATGGTATTTTCATCGATTCGGTAAATCCCGAATAGGTAAATGTAAACACAGTAAAAGCAAAGTTGGACAGGGTAAATTAAGATTTATTGTTTACATTTTAAATTGACATGTTTGCTTTAACACTACAGTTAAACGATCCGTGAGGGCTACGTACAGTTCCTAATTATGTACTTTTCTCTGCTTACGCTTCTTCAAAGCTTTTAATGCCAACATATAGATATCACTATCTAAATCATCGTATAACATCATAGTAGCCACTAGTAATCTCTCCCGTGAACTTATGTTACGCACCAACCGTGTGTATTGTACGCAGTCTTGGAAACCACTCACGGCAGCTGCGTTTTGGGACCTGGACAAAAGCCGCAGCGCATCTAAACCGCTGCGCATCTATTACGCGTCTAGGAAACCACAGCCTAATAGTTAAGATTGTCCAGGGTCAGGTGCTGACTGTGATGAGTTAAGCCTATTACGCGCCACTGTTCTGTAGCTGCGGTCGTTTTCACGATTACGCCTCCTGTCTATGTTTCGTTGTCGTCGCGTCGGAGGCATTTAAAAGAAAAAAACAACAAATAAACAAATTATAGCTACACAAAACAACGATAAATGCACAAATTTAAGTTACAATCATACTAACACGATCCGTCTATTAGCGACACAAAACCCGATAAATATACAAATTTAAGATTATGTTTTATCTATGTACAAACATACTAACACGATCCGTCTTGGGGGTTATGTTTACACAAACTGAAATAGTACTCAATGCGTTTCGAATTGAAAAATAAATAACAGCAATTAAATTATACAGCTGATCAAAATGTAAACAATTATGTTCCTCATAAGGATAACATGGGAACTTTCAAAGCCACTGGGGCAGAGCCCAACGGACTTTAAAAAAATGTAAGGCCAGTTTGCAAATCTACGCGACACGCTCTTTCCAATGAGACGTCAATGGATAAAATCGGTTAAGAAATGGCGGAGGAGTTCAACCGACAAAGTTTCATGTAGCGTATTAATTATATAGATTATTCATTATAAAAATTAAAAATTGTGAAATAAAAAGCGTCAATCTCTAGAGGACCGCAATTCCTTAAATTTAACTCCTTATCCATAATTATATGACAATTTGCTGATGAGATATTTGGACCCAAAGTTAACATTGTTCTTATGGGGAAGAAATCCAACATGGCTTCCACTACGGAAGACTCTTAAGTACAAAGCAAACTTGTACCTATGGTACAGTATTTCATACAGGTTTCCGACATACTGTACATTTTTTTTTAGTTTTTAAGTTTT